ACAGGCCAAGTCACCTTTGCCAACATTAACATTGTGACTATAGCTGATATCTTTCTTTATTGACCTCTCTGCCTTTCTGTAAATAAACTTACCTCCTCCTCCTTTATTGAAATAAAGGGGAATGAAGGAGCAGTCCATGAAGGAGCAGTCACCATTGCTTGGCGAAAGCTAGCCCTTTCCCCTTGACTGTTAGGATAAAAAATTTAAAACATAAAAGTTCTTATGCAAAGATTGTTCGTAAAAGCAATATTTGTCAGTTCTGAACTTACTGAACGCAATAGGAAGATTTCGCTTTTAGCACAGTTCATGCATAATCATTTTTTTTTAATGCTGCATACTGCATGAGCGTTGTTGGAGTTGTATTCGGTATACAAACGTCAGCGTCGATCTTTGTTGTAGCAGGCACTGTGTCAGGATGCCTGCATTGCCTACGCCGGCCAGAGAATCGATAGCGAGCCAGAACGTCAGTTTCAGAGATCGACGAGTGGTATACCTACTCCCTGGAGAGCTCATTCCCTACCACCAAATGCAACACACGCTGTACCGTTCCTCGAACACGTGCATCTCGGTCTCGCGGGAACATTTAACCTTCTGGCCGCAGGAGCATTTTGGGTATGACGCTGTAGTTTCTCATCGCTTTGTTAGGTTTCGCCTATCACGGTTCACTGCAAACCCACAGACTTAGAGCAGTATAGTTAAGCTAATTGCAAACACGTTCATTCTGAGAGGCAGAAAGACCCACAATGTTTCTTGACACTCCTATATTGTCCTGTCCTTGGCCAACTCCAAATTTCGTTCGCGATCACAGAGTGAATAATGGTCTGCATTTTTTCTATCAAGCCACATGGCTGATACGTCTTCTCAATCAATCGTACATGCACTGCCCGCATTACAAGCGGACACTGCATGCATTTGTGGGAGATTCTAACTACGGAGATCTAGCCATTGTGTGGTATGCCCTATAGTATATTTTTGAGGTCTGTATGCTTTGATAGCATTTAATTATTTTAGCGATGACGCTGTAGCGCTTACGCCTCGTCTTATTGTCTTATGCAAGGAATCTTTACATGTTCCTGACCAGACACTTGCATTTTCGTTTGTTTTCTTTCGCATGTTCATTTAGTTTCTGTGCGTTATTTGCATTGAAGAAGTGTTAACCGCGATTGCGGGAAAGAGCTCGCGTAGAAGAAATTCCAGCGTGCACGTTGGTGTCGGTGGTGGTCGTTGTGAGCAAAATCGGCGTTGTTCGTGAGCAAAATAACGGCATGTATGTAAAATATAAAAATGAGGAACACGACCCTAAATCGAACCAAGGCACTGCGCGTGATTCAGGTGTTTCATTGTAGAGCCACGTGATGACCTTTTTTTGTTTCTCTCTATTTTCTGTTTTTATCTGTTTCTCTGTTTTTCACTATTTCTACCTTTGTTTCTTCCTTTTCATTTCATCTCTTTCTCTGCTACTCACTCTTTTTATTTATCTGTGCCTTTCTCTGTCTTTTTGTCTTTCCTTCTATCTCTTTCTCTCTGTATCTGCTTCTATCACTCTCTCTCTTGCTTTCTCTTTCGTGTTTTTTCTATCACCTTCTCTGTTTTTTTTTATTTCTCTATTTTCTGTTCCTCCTTCTCTATCTCGCTCTCTTCATATTACTCCCGTTATTTATCTCCACTTTTTATCTCTTCCTTTCTATGTCCTCATATATATCTCTCTCTCCCTCATTTTTCACGTATTCGTTTGAAGCTCGCACCTGCTGTACCTACATGGTAGTGGGGCTTGCTTAATTCTTCTCGTGCATAGCCACCTGAAGAGTTACCACAATGGAGTACAAGTAACCACCAATAGGTCAACTTCACTGTAAAGAGAATAAAGAGAGCACGTGCCGTTCTTTATGATGACAGTTTTGTTTTTTAAGACAGACCACACAAGTTGCCTACTGTTTAAACTGTTCGTTGTTGAAACGCTATACGTTCTTAAAATCACGTTAACATACAAAAAACGCCAGGCCTGTGCGGAAGGCGCTGCGCAGTCACAGCGAAAGCTAGAAGAGGGGGCTTTCAGAGCCTTTTCTAAACACTCATTGGGCAACTGCTGCAAGCACGCTTGCTAGGTACCCACTACGGCATTATTAATAATAATTTCTGTGTAGTAGGCCAGCATTAGTTATGCCATTTTTCGTCATTCTTCTGAGAAGCGTGGTATACGCTTAACACTTGCAAGGAATTTT